TCAGTGTTAAATACTAGTTATTTGGTATTGAAACTCCTATTAATAGAACTTACTCAGGTGCCCTCTGTCTTGCAGCTATGGAAACTCTGCTCTGAAAACTGAGACAGAGATGTTTGAGAAATATTACAATAAACTGGAATTCAGGGATCAGCGACCTCTACGAATATCAGAAATGAAGACGGCGGGAACAGAATTTGCACAGGTACACAAGAATTATGTTATTTTAAGAATCTAAGATCTAAGAATTATCTTCTTCTGTTTGTTCCTTTAGATGCAAATGGTATTTGTGCATCTGCCTTTGGTGTGCTCTCTTTGGCCAAGCGGTATATGACTCCCCCCCCCACCTCACCGCCCCCCATTCCCGTTCTTCTTTTGATTCTTCCTTCCCCTTCAAGGTTTCTCTTTCAAGTGACTGTGAAGGGCATCACATTCAATTTACAGTAGATTGACTTTCCCAGAATATCTTAGCTTATTTGAAATAATTCCCTTAAGTTGGGGAACTCCAATGTTTACCAGGCTCAGTCACATAAAGAGGTGGAGGGGCTGGATGTGCACTGGAGAATTCTACGAGGACCAGCCAGGTGGCCTGATGTTGCCAGAATGGTTGATTTTTCAAAAGAAGCTGGAAATCTAGATTATTTTGGTGGAATATCCTGATTTTCAAATGTGGATAATTTTTTTTTTTAATTTAAAACTGTGTGTAAGTCTATTCTTTGAGGGCCAAACAATCCCATCTTGAGGCCCATGCATTCCTGGGACACCTGCTTGTGACCTCTGGTTGAAATGCATAGGAAATCTAAAATTTTTGTCCATTTATTTGTTTTTGCTGAGCAGTGTGCCCCGGATGCAGCTTCTCTTCTGCGTTCAGTTCACAAAGCACTGGGCTCTGGGCCTCCCCTGAAACTGACTTTGTTTTTCTTGAGGTATAGTTGCGAATCAGGCATAGATCCAAATCCCGCGTAGGTGAGGACCATATGAAAAGCCTCAGTGTCGACCAGAAGTGCGAGCTTGTACAGAAGGAACTGGAAGACACGAAGGATGAAATCAGGCACCTCAGGGCAAATGCCGAACGGGACCTGCAGTATCATGAGGTACACCTTTCTCCCTACAGGCTATCCTACCTGGCCCCGCACTTCCGCCTCATCAAGAAGTCCCTATGGTATGTGCCTATAATTGGTGATACTTTGAAAGAAACCCAAGTAGAGTAAGACAAGTTGAGGGCCTACCTTTAAGGAACTTACCACCTCCTTGAGGAGCCAACAGATTTTAGACTTTTTTAACTGGAAAATTTCAAAAATATACAAATGCAGAGAGCCCAGCACAGTGAACCCCTATGTACTCAACACCCACATGCGGCAGCTATTTACAGATGGCGACTCCTGTTCCCTCCACCACCCTGCCAACTTCCCCCTCATCCTAGGCCAGTGGGATTTAAGGGAGTGAATTCTAGACAGACCGTTTATCTGTAAATATTTCAGTACACGTCTCTAAGAGATGGATTCTTTTTAAAACCACAACCATAATAATCATACATGCCCTTAAAATTTGTAATAATTTCTTAATAATACAAGGGTTTGAGGTTTAAGTCAGTGAGTGGGTTGCAAAGTCCCTACGTCACCCTCCAGATGCAGCATGCATCACCATGGTCCACGGCTGGTAGGAGACCATCACGGTCCGTTTCCCTTCAGAGAAGAAAACATCACTGTTAATGCGGTTGCCCACGGGATGAAGCTGTTGCCTTGTACTTGAGAGCCATGTTGTATGAAAAATAAATATTAACTGTTCTATTTCTAAATTTTCCTGTTTCTAAATGTGGGCACACACAGAATCACACTCACTGTCTCAAGAGGGACAGATCAGTGGACTCGTGTCTCCACTGATGGAACCGTCTGTACTGCATAAACCTACGGCTCCTTCCCTCTCTCCCTCCCCCCAATCCCCTCCCCCCACTTTCCTTCTCTCTCTTTCCAAATGTGCTTTGTTGAAATCTAGCACTTTAAAGGAGCTCAGGATGTGGTAGCATTGTCCGCACATGTTAGATCGTGTGATGTAGCTATCACAGCGTGGGCTAAAATGGTCACAGAAAACTTGTTGAGGAGGTGGAGCTGGACATAGGACTTGGCATGGCCTTGGAAAATGATAGCATTGCTTTGAGGAACAGGAAAAGAAGGGCCCCCTACGTCAGGAGAATGACATGAGCAAGGAAGTGAAGGTGGGAATGAGTGTGGCAGGTTCTTGACATTGAGGGGCCTGGTATGATTAGAGAAGAGGGTGCTCTGGGGGCTGTATTAGGAAATCAGGTTGAGTAGGGCGGTGAGACCTTGAGAGTCAGAGTTTATCTTTGATGTCTTAGAAAGCAGGACCCCAATGAGGATGACTAAGCAGGGGATCAACATGTTGAAAATGGCATTCATGGTAGATTGATGTTCTAGCATGTGAAGACGATGGGGAGGGAAGCGGTTGGGGCCAGAGTATCTCCCCGGAGGGAAGACATTCTTGCTTCTTGGTGCCCCATGAAAAAGCCTAAACAAGGATGATTTGCTCTGCAGCTGAGATAAAGTCCTGTTTTATCCTTTCAAATAATGTGTGTGTTTTTGTGTTTTCTATTTAAAGACAATCTCGGTTGTAGCAAAATTTACACATACAGCTAAACTAAAAGAAGCACATTTGAAAACATAGACAATCTTACCACGGAAGGGTCATTATTGTAGACACGTGTATTTATTTATCTCCTAGAGTTTTTCGATTATTTTCTATGCATATATGAAGTTCTTTATGAAAGGTATCATATTACTTTTTAAGCTATATTTTTACTTCAAATATCTTTCCATGTCAACATATGAATTCATTTATAACATCTTTTTTCAAATGAAAGAAGTACACAGTAAGAGTGTTTCTTTGTCTCTCCACTAATCCATCTCTCCTGATGTGATTGTAGTTAATGTTTTGGTGTGTAAACTTCCAGATTATATCATATCATATCATATCATATTTTTATGTCATATCATATATTATATTATCAATGTTATAAATTTAATAGATAAATAATATTTCAGATATGGAAATACATATTTATAGAGATATCTGAGGCCCTGTTTTTCTTTGTTGCCCCCTTATTATGGATATTTTAACTTTTTTGAGGCATATTTTTACATAACAACGTTCATATAGTCAAATTGGTATCTTAAGGATATCTTTCTAAGACTAAGAGGAAACACTGTGTATTGGAACACAAAGAGGCCTAAGAATTTAGGTTTTCTTAGAGGGATATAGCCTAGAGAATTTTTGAAAACTGTTCTCTCTTTGTGCTGACTCCCCAAGGCTATCATTGAAGAAGCTGATATTCGATGTACTGAAGTTGAGAGAGCAAGGCATGAGTTTGAAAAAGACATCCTAAAAACCATATCCAAGAAGAAAGGGAGCATTTTGGCCACCAGGAAAGTGATGGAGTACATTGATGACATGAACCGCCGGAGGGTGAGTTGGCATGAGCTTAGAGCTTATAGGGAGAAGAGACTCATAGAAGGCTGACGTAAAAGCCATCACGGGAGGCAGTCCCATTCCATTTGGTCTATTATAAACGTCGCTCACACATACAGATTTTTTGCATTCCCCAAAGTGTGTGTACATCTTGAAATGCAAGTTTATCAAGGCTAAAGTCAATCAGGCAGGATGAATATTAACAGTATCTCAGATCGATGAATTCTTTTTTTTATTGTTGCCATTTGTTTCAAGATCTGATAGTTTTCTTGAGAAAGGCGCGAGCCTATCTAGTCAGGTGACTGCATGGGACAGGTACATCTCCAGCTCTTTGCGTTCCATTCTTATAAGAATGAGACATAAAACGCTCTTTCACTTCCAAAGATTTTGTAGCATATCAAGCTTTGGATCCTGGAGCTAGGTAAGCTTACTAACCCTAATGTGTTATAAGTAATACAAATTTTGTGAACTACCGAGAGACTAAAAGACCAAAGAATCATAACATCATTTTGTCAAGAAAGGCCCCTATACCCAACTTATCTTGAATTGAAAAGCAATAGAAAATTTGCATGGAGCAGACCCAGCTTTCTCTGTGTCTTGGTCATAAGTGAAATGCTATTGCAACATCAGCTTGGGCAGATGTAAAAAGACCTAAATACATGACTGACTATTAGGTCTCAAGATTTGGTGTGTAGCCGCAGACTTACCAACTTTTCAAACCAACAGGGAAGAAGAAAAGAAATGGATAAAAATTTGCTTTTATTTTTTTAGGAAAATATAAAGGATAAATTACGTTTGAAAAATGTTTCTCTCAAAGTCCAGAGGAAAAAGATGCTTTTACAATTGAGGCAGGTATGTGGCCTTTTCTTTCTTTTTTTAAGGTTCCTTTGGTAGTTAGAAAAATGTCCCCCCAAAGATCTCTGTGTCCTAATTCCCGGAATCTGAATATGTTATCTCGCACAGCAAAAGGATTTTGCAGATGTGACTAAGTCTAGGATCTTGAGATTATCTTGGGTTGTCTGAGTGGGTCCAATGTAATCACAAGCAAGGGTCCTTAGAAGATAGAGGCAGGAGAGTGAGAATAAATGGAGATGTGATAAGAGAAGCAGCGATCGGGGCGATGTGCTTTTCAGACAGAGGATGGGGCCATGAACAAAGGCAGCCTCTAGAAGCTAGCAAAGGCAAGGAAACAGACTCTCCACTAGAGCCTCCCGATGAAAGGCAGCCCTGCCAACACCTTGGTTTTAGCCCAAAGAACCACTGGGGCCTCTCACCTTATGAGCTGTCACAGAATAGATTTGTGTTGTTTTCAGCCACTGAGTCTGTGGTCATTTGTTACAGCAGCCATAGAAAACTAATACAGTTACTGTGGCAGCAAAGCTGTAGACAGAGTTGGCTTGAATTTGAAAGACCCTCATGACATACTTGTTGAGCCTTTGGGGACATGTGATGTCAGTGGCATGGTAATAAAATGCTTTGGTGAATCGTTGAACAGCTGACCCTAAAGGCTCCTGATGAAAGGCAGTAAGGCAGACATGGGACAGGTCTCCAGAGTGTGATTCTGTGGCTCCATCCTCTCCTAGCTCAATATTTCATTATGAACTTGAATATGGGCACTGGTGGCATGCACACCAGTGGTGGCCACTGAGAGTGACACAAAGTCGGGCAGGAGAATTAACATGTCCAGGGATATTGCTTGGTTGACTTGGGATCACAAAAGACTCAACAAGTTGGGACAGCTCTAACAACACAAAGTGACCAAGGACGAATGTAAAATCTTCCACTTTGATCCCCGGAATATCGGCACAGGTACCGGGTGGCTTAGCCATAGAGTACCTGATAAAGTCAGCTCAGCGGGAGGTGACGCTAAGGGCCTGGGCTGCACTCAGAGAACCACAGAGCCCCACCAAGAAAGGGGTGGTCTGGTGCCACTCTGTTCTTAATAGCCCGACCTGGAGCACTGTGTCCCACTGAGAGCTCCAGGCTTGATGGAATCAGCAACTAGAGTTCATGTAGGAGAGGGAGCCGGAGACAGGGGGAGCAGAAAGCATGGGGAAGGACTTCGGACTGATGGGCCCAAGGGGAGAGGGTGCAGGAGGGCCACGTCTGCTTCAAGTGCTTGGCCACCTCCAGGAGGAGAGGACACAACACTTGTGAAGGCCTGGAGGTGGAGCTAGGAGAGAGGTAGGGGTGTCAGCGAAGGAGATTCGAGTTCAGTGTGAGAAAGAATGTGGCCCCAGCCGAGCTGAGAGGAGCTGCCTCCAGATAGTGATGCCCTGGTCCTCCGGGCATCACGCAAGCTCAGGCATCCTGAAGAGGGGGTTTGAGTGTGAGATGAAGAGTCGATGGATGACCTTTAACCTAAATGCTCTCGCAAGCTCACAGACTAGCAGGGAGTGGTGATGCTGAGAAAAGGCAGGGATGCGTAGTGGCTCTGCAGAAGCAACAGCAGCAAGGACCGCGGAGCCACAGCCTCCAGAGGCTCAGTGGAGGAAGGCCCTCTGCTGCCAAAGACAAGTTGGGAGTGTTTGAGCTAGAGAATGGGTCATGCTGGAGCTTAAGGAAATTGGTGTGGACAGAAGATGCCTCCTAGGAGGTAGTACAGTGTGAGCAGAGTATGGGGAACAGTCCCGAGTTTGGCCACCACCTACCTACCACCAGGTGTAAGATGGCACAGACCTGGTGGGGCAGGTAAGGTGGGGCCAGGTCAGGGGGGAACCCGGTACACTAATACATCGCAGTGAAGAAACGCATGTGATCCAGGGCTGCTTGTCCTGGGTTTCCAGGTTAAAAACCACTTTTAAGTGGCCTACTCACTTCCTTCACAGCTTTGTTTAGGTGCCTCCCCCTGTGGGAAGATCCCTGACCCAGCCTTCTATCCTCCCCTGGCCTGGCTGAGGGGTTTCTGAGTGCCCTCTGCCCCTGCATGTCCCACTAACCCATATTGTGACCTGTCTGGGAACCCCTGTTGAGTATGTGCTCCTCCAGGCCAGGGAGTAACATACTTACTCAAATCTCTGTCCCAGAGCTCAGTACCCTGCCTGGCACCAAGAAGATACCCAATCCATGTTTGTTGAATGACTAAATGATGGCTGACTTCCAGGATCTCACCCAGAGTTGCAAGGTGGGAGCCATAAATTCACAAGCCACAACCTCACATCATTTCTTTCTTATTCCTGAGCTGTAGAAAGAAGAGGTAAGCGAAGCCCTCCACGATGTTGATTTTCAGCAGCTGAAGATCGAGAATGCTCAGTTTTTAGAGGCAATTGAAGCAAGGAATCAAGAATTGATCCAGCTAAAGCTGGCATCTGGAACCACCCGGCAAGTCCTCCATGCATACAAAGTAAGGTGCGCCCCGATGCCCAGGCCCCCGGGGCTCCCTGCCCCCACCTTTCCGGCCACAGTGAGGTTCCTGTGTACTAGTGCAGTTTCCCACCAGGACTTAGGGTGTCCCTCACTCTCCCCCAGATTCGTGAGTTCTCTTGACAAAGCCACGTCTCCTAAAATACTCCAAATGTTCCCACAGCCCTAGCTGCACACCAGAACCACCCTGAGAGCTTTTCCTTTTTTCTTAATTATTTTATTTTAGTTTTAGCTTTAGTTTTTTAGCTGAGCCTTCCTGCCACCTGTTGGCAGCTCAGCGGCAGCTCAGCTCGGGCCGGGACTTGAACCGCTATTGCTCAGAGCTTGCACTCTTGAGCGAGCTCTTAACCAACTGAGCCACTCAGTCAGCCCCTTTTCCTTTTTAAAAAGATATAAGGACACCCTAGTGCCCCCTGACAAATTGAATTAGGGGGTGGAGGGCCATTCGTCTTTTGTTTTAACTCCCCAGATGCTTTTTATGCTCTGTAAGTTTCAAGGAGCAGCCACATTTAGGGCCCTGTTTAGGCATATAATATGCACTGCCCTGCTTAAAACCCTGCAAAGGAAAAACCATCTTAGCTATAAATCAGAAAACTACTAAGTAATTCCTCATCCACACATAACCCATTTTACAGAAAATAGACACTATTAATAATTAATCAAAACTATAGTTACGAACAGGGCCTGTCCCAGCAGACACGGCTGTCTGGTCACCCTGCTAACAACCATTTAATGCAATGGTCAGCTAACTGTGGGCCAGCGTATCTCACCCACTGGCCTGTGAGCTCAGGATGGTTTTTACAGAAGAATATTTGCAACCAATTTGGTAGAGAACACTACCTTTGAAACCCAATTAAGCAAAATTGGCTTTTTCTCCCCCAGAAATTCCATTCTTCTCATTAGTAGACCTGTATTCCCAAATATTATACTTAATTATGATAGTTGCAATTTCATCAATAAAGCATTTGTGGAAATTTGTTTTTTCTCTTGTTAAGATAAGGAATCACAAAATATCCTCAGTTTTGCTTCTTGGCCTGCAAAGCTTAAAATATTTACTATCTGTCTGGCTTTTTACACAGCAAGGCTGCTGACCCCTGGCCTGGTGCCCAGGTGGCAGCAGTGGCTACGGGCTGAGGTGGCTCACTGGGGGACTTTATTTGGTCCACACAGTGTCATTTTAAAATGTGAATTTGAATGTGTTTAGTCTAGGCTAATGTTTGTCCAATATTTTCCTTTTACCAATAAAAAGCCTGAAGCCCAAAGGGGCAGAGTAATTGCCAGAGTCAAGCAGCACATTTGTGACGGAGCTGGGACTCCTGGTCCGGCGCGTGTCCCACTTAACCCACTCATCTTCCCCTGGCATAAAGCGTGTGCACAATATTGTGCTGGCATTCTGAAGTTCATGTGTCGTAAACACCCAACAGATCATCCACTTTGAGCTTATCGCATCAGCACTTAGCTTATCTGATCACTGTTGTTTCAAGATGAAGCCAAGCCTTGTGACTCCCAGGCCCTTGCTGGCTAGAGAGCTGGGCAGCACGAGGTTACATCACATTGGACCTTGATCTTATCCTGCAAAATCAACTGAATAACACTGGGCCTGTCTGATCTTGTGGGGAAAAGCCGGGGGCTTGGAGTGGAGCTACTGGTTTAGAAAATGAAACTGCCAGGTTGCAGGGCCTGAGCTCCTGAGGACAGGTCTAAACACACAGCATCAGTTGTTTGTGATACCTGAGTCGCAGCGACACAGGTTGCAGTGGGCGGAACGGGAGCCATTCCTCCCCGAATCCTGGGGGACATCATGCCTGCAGGCCAGTTGCAAATAATAGTAAGCAGAGAGTAGAGCCTGGGAGGAGACACAAGGGAGGGTTTGAGGGCGAAGTGGGCCCACTTCCTCCGTGTCTCAGTTCTCAGGTCTCCTGGGGGAAAGGAGGCAGAGCAACTGTGAGTTGTGGAGTCAGGCCTCACCTGGTTGAAGGGGGGACTCCACTGGGGACCCCAGGCACGAAGCTTCACCCACAGGAGGTGGGGTTTTGTGCCTCGCCACCAGAATGGAGTTTTGGCTGTTCTGTGCTCTGTGCCCCCAGCACCAAGGACAGTGCCTGGCCAAAGCAGGTGCTCGGCCACTGTTGTCAAATGAACTGCTAGCAATTCAGGTGTGTGTTTAGGGGATGGGAGGGTGGCAGGGACCACTTTCATAGGAATATCTAACACCCAAGTGTGAGGCCTTGTTAAAAAGTGCGAGGCCTTATTAAAAACATGTGGAATAACTTTCCTCTATTACCAAATGTACTGAGCACCTACGGCCGGCCAGGAACAGGGCTGAGCGCCTTTAGTCCAGCCACAAAGGAGACAGACATGGCCGCTTGTCTTCTGAGAGTTTTGTGACTGAGCCTCAGTCAAAGGGGCACCTTTTTCCTCCAACTTTCTGCCCACAAGCCCTGTGTGGTGGAGACTAGGATATGATAAGCGTGTGACTACAGCTGAGATGTGTCGCTTTTTAAAATGTATATGTTTATTTTATCTGAGAGCACTTAGTCAATATTGATTAACTGGGTGTTTAAAACTAAATGTATTGGGGTACCATTGGTTATTAGTGTTATATAATTTTCAGGTGTACAATATTATAATTCAACGCCTGTATACTCTATCGTGTTTCTAGTTTCCTTCTGTTACCATTGGACGCCCTTTACCCACTTTGCTCTCCCATGTCATTCTTAACTGACTATAAATGAGGGGTGCCTTGTGGTAGGTAGAATTCCAAGCTGTTCCCCAAGACTCCCCGCCCCTGGTGTATACACCCTGCCCAACCGCCAGGACTGTGGCTAGGATGGGCTCTGTCATTATTAGGTTCTGTTATATCATTAGATTATATTCTATGGCACAGTTAACCTTAAAACAGGGAAATTATCTGGGTGGGCCTGACCTAATCACACAATTCTGAAAGCAGACAGTTTTCTCCGGAAGAGGAAGTCAGGGATTTGAAGCATGAAGGACATTTGCTGGGTGATAAATTCTCCCTTGCTGGCTTGGAGATAGAGGGGGCCACGTGGAAGGGACCTGAGGGTGGCTTCAGGTTGCCAAGGGCCACCTCCTGCTGACAGCCAGAAAGAAAACAAGGACTTCAGTCTTATCACTTCAAGGAAATGCATTCTGCCCACAACCTGTGAGCTTGGAAAAGGACCCCAACCCCTAATGAGACCCATAGCTCTGGCCAACACCGTGATTTCAGGCCCATGGCACCTTCTCCGGGCAGAGGCTCCCACCACGCTGTGCCTGGGTTCCTGACCCATAGAAACCATGAGATAGCAAACGTGTGTTGCTTTAAGCCACAATATCTGTGGTAATATGTTACACAGCAAGAGAAAGCTAATGTACCTATTCAGAAGTAGCCGCCTCGAGTGACTGCCATCCTACTCAGAGTCACAAATAGCTCCCATCACACCTTCTCGAAGGCCCTGGGGACCACCCGAGCCTTGCCATCGCCCTGCGTTCCCATCTTTCCTGCCCTGTCTCTAAGTCGTGGGGCGAATGTCTGCCCTCTGCCCTCCTTTCCCCCGTCCTGAGCTGCTGGTCTGCAGTGAAGCCCTGCCTCCGCTTCCTCCCCGATGGGGACCCTGGGGCGTTGGCCCAGCACCTGCCTCCTTCCCAGCTCCTTTCAGCTCCTCCTGTCCAGGCTGTTTCTTTAGCTTGGAATGTTCTTTCCTTCTCTCTTACCTAGACCTACGTGACCTAAGCGTTCAGCTCCCGTTCTGGCATCCCTCCCTGCAGGGAAACCTTTCCAACCACTGTCCTCGCATTCTTAGAGGTTGACACAGGGGCAGTTTTACATTTCTTCTTGTATGTACTTCCTTCTAGACTGTGAGCCATCTTCTCGGTGGTAGGGCCCATGCTGTTTCGCTCACCAGTGCCTGGTGCAGGGTGGGTGGGTTCTCAGGGTCTGTTGAGCGAGCCCCCTCGAGTCACTGGCTCCTGTCCCTAGGCCCACTTCTCAGCCAAGCGTATCCCAGCTCCTGCAGGATGACTCTTCCCCACTGGGAGACAGAGGTCCACAGAGGGCCAATCTAAGAAGCAGCGGTCTGGGGTGGGGAGGGGGACTGGTGAATGGCGGCAGGGAAGCTGTAGGACTTCTGCAGAATTCCACCCACACCAGCAGGCCCAGCCCTGACAGGCACTGGAGATAGTGGTGGAGCCCGTGGGCCGTGAATTCCACTGTCTTATTTCGAATCCTGACTCCCTCCAGTGCCTCCGTGACCTTGGCAAATTGCTTCACCTCCCTAAGAGTCGGTTGCCTCTCCTGTAGAGCAGGGATGGCAGTAGCACCCACCTCCGGGGGAGTGTCTTTCGCTCTTCATCTGAGTGAGGTGGTGTTGGCAGCTGTTTGCCGAGAGCTCTCCGTGTGTCAGGCACTGCACCCAACGCTTTATCAGGTTTATCTCCCTTAAACCTCTCCACAACCCTACAAGGTGACCAGACCAAGTTTAGAGAGGTTCTGGAACTTGCCCAAAGTTTCTCTTAGTCAGTGGTGGGGCGGGCTTTGGGTTCCGGTGCCTGGCCACTCTGCAGGTGAGGACAAGATTCTCACCGTCCTCTCCTCCCCCACCCCCTAGACACCAGGATTCTGAAAAGCTGGGCAGCTGTGAGAAGGGTCGGCCCAGGTTCCTGCGTGATCCTGCTTTTCTCCTGCTTAATAAAGAGCCATCCATCCTTCGTATAGCTCTGAGCGATCGCCTTTGCTCAAGGCTTGTTATGTTGTTATATTTCAGACCAGGCTGCAACGAGCAATGGAAACATCCATCAACCTGGAAAAGGAGATCTTGCTGAGAAATGAGTTACTTGAAAAAATTGAAAGAGAAACCCTACAAGTAGAGGAGGTAGGAGAGGGGAAACATACTCTTTCTTGTGTTTGTCTCCTTCTGTCTACAAGGGCTAGCGTCAACGTCCACCAAGATCCAAGCCACCTTGACTTTTGTCTAGAAAAGCTTAGACCACAGAACCCGAAATAGCTCTGAGCCATCGAAGGAGGAAGTGGCACCTGGAGACTCATAGACCCGTAGTGTTCACTATTGAATGAAGTCCTAGAGACAGCTCATAAGATAGAAATCCTGCAAGTCCAAATAATCCTCAGGAATTCCTTAAACGACTCATAAAGTAAAAAATTTAAAGTGTTGTGAGTACAAACTTACAAAAAAATGTATAATGCATGTAATAGTGTAACTGATATGAGAAAAAGTACACACAGCAAACTATAGTGTTTATGTAAAGGAGAGAGCGAGAGCTCTTTAGACATGTAACTCTTACTCGGGACAGTGGATGCTCGGGTGGCAGGCCTGTGACCTCTGTCCTGTGACCTCTGTCCTGTGCCCACTCCAGGGCTTATGGTCACTGTGTGGCATCATCTGTGCTCCTGCCATCTGCATGGCAACTTAGCACTCTCATTATTTTGCTGAGCACAGAAAGTTGAATTTCCGCAAGTTAAATGCACCATCTAGGATGTGACTCAAAGAGGCCGTTTTGGGGAAGGTCAGGGATAAAGAGCGCTGGACCTGTAGTCAGAAGGCCTGGCGTCAGGTTTGGCGTTGCCAGTTTCTAGCCTTACACAAGCCTTTGAATTAGACAGGACTCAGTTTCCACATCAATGAAGCAACTGTCACAACTTTTGTGGTGATCAGATAGGAACGTGCATAGCAATTCTTTGTCAACAAAGCTTGTTAGTACAATTATTGTTATTGTCTTGAATGGGCCTGAAGTATCCCCAGCACTTCAGGTTTGTGTGGCCCCAAACCTGCCTACACTGGCCCCAAAGCCACAGGATTGTTATATCTGACTCAGTTTGGTCATGGCATCTGCATCATATCCTTGATGGAGAACCAACAGGCTTTGCAAAAGAGTGGGTTTCGGTTCAGGGCGGCAGGTAACAAAGTGAAAGCGAAGGTCTGTTTGCTCTCCCCATGAAGAATTTCTGGGGTCTGGCCGAGTGGCTCAGTTGGTTAAGAGCTCACGCAAGAGTGCAAGCTCTGAGCAACAGTGGTTCAATTCCCGGCCCAAGCTGAGTTGATGCTGAGCTGCCAACAGGTAGCAGGATGGCTCAGCTAAAAAAA